ATCAACCGACATTTAAACCTTTTATAAGTAAACCGGGAACATTTATCATGTCAATCATATATTTCTTTTTACTACATATTCTCCTTTACATCATACGATGTGTGATAATCAATGCCAGAAAACAGATTGAAAAACTTCAAACACACGCATAAGATGTACTTGTTGAATAAAATACTTTTCGAAAAACATATTTATAACTATAAATGAATAAATAAGTGTATAAAATTTGGAAATGATAAAGTTTCACCATTCACAAAAAAGAATGTTTTTATAACAAAACAACGATGAAAGATCACTACACTCATCCTCTAATATTACAGATGCTATCTCAAACAATTCTCCAATTTATACTATAACCCAGTGTCATATTACTCATGTTATACTTGTGTCATTTACATGTAAAAGAAATTTTGTAAGTTCAATAAAAAACATGCATTTTATAGAGCTCGTCTTAAATGAATGAAAAATCAAGCTTCATTATATTAGAATGAAGTATATGAAAAACAAAACAATCTTTTCCATTAAATAAACTGAATTAACTCTATACACGGAAAAAAACTGTTGGGTGCATTAGAATGAATAAGAATAAAAGAAGAGAGGGGGAAAAGCAGCAAGTTCTGTCTTGAAGTTCCAAGAACGCTTGAAGTTTTATGACGTGTTCTGAAATCTTTGCAACCACTTCAGCTCTTATGATGTTTCACAAGTGTCAAGAAGTTTTGTCATGTCGTTCTAGGTCTCATGAAGTTTAGAGGCCTCGTGAACCTTTCTGAAATCTCGTGAAGATCCGAATAGCCCTTGAAACTTTTTAAGTTTCGTAAAGTTTCGTAAAGTCTAGTGAAGCCCATTAAAGTGTTTGAAGTTTTTGTAAGTCACTTGAAGTCTTCAAATTACGAAGTCCACTGTCTCCTCTTCAGAAAGACGCAATATAAAGATTTAACATCTATTTCATAACGATATGAAAGAAAAATGATTTTCTATAATTCAGTTAATGAACACAGAAGGACTACTATTCAAAAGAGAAGTGTATGCAAGGAGAAGTTGCCTATAACAAAATAGATTAATAATAAGACACTGCATAACTATAATTTATCAACAATCGATAAAAAGAAACAACTTTTCTGTTACAATAAAGAAAACATCAAGAATTCTTGTTTTAACGTAGCTACAGAAGAAAAGAGCTTTATAATTGTTTGTGTGTTCAAAAAATAAGCTTGTTGACTATAAAAGAATGTATTACAAGGAAAAGATTTCTCTTCGCTTGAACGGTAAATAAAGAATATTTCTAATTAATCAGAGAAATTTTTTTTCGATTGTTGTTCATATACGTTAAAATTATTCTAGAATTATTATATTATGAATCTAAATATTAATATCTCTCAGAATAGCAAAGCTTCATCGATTCTGCCACAATATTGGTGGAAAGCATAGTTAGAAATCTGTTCTTTCATTGTATCGATTGCATGCTTATGGTGGAAACGTGCGTATACACCGTTGGAAATCAAGAGCATAAAAATATCATAAGGATCGGATAAGTATTTCTCAATAAAGCATTTCAACTAAACTTGAAATAACGTTGCTTCTCTTCTAATAGACTGATTCGAATGGACAATAAATGTTATTATCAGATATCAGAAGCATAGTCTTTCAAAATCAGTAATCAAGAAAAAACTTCTGAAAAACCCTTCTTTATGCGTAAAACAGTCAATGCTTCCGCTGAAATTGTAGAGCAATATAACCTTGTACAAAAACTGATAAACTGTTTTTCTTGAATCCCAGAATAATAAACGCTCATGCGTAGAATAATAAATCCTTTTCTTGAAAACGTTGAATAATATACCCCTTTTCTTAAATTCTAGACTAATAAGTTCGTATTTAGTTGTCAAAAATTTTTCTCATTTTCATATATCATTGCTTCCATGAATTTTTTTGCTCATAAACCCTTGAAAATTTCAGAAGGTCGACATACAGGCTTCAAGGGTTTATGAAAAATCACATATAGGGTAAAAGTTAATTGTTCTACTCTTTTTTTAATCTTCGTTTAGTTCACCTTTATTTTATTAGATTTTGTCTGACATTTACAATACTATAAATATTTGCAAAATCATCGATAAATAGTCGAGAGGTGTGTGAAAAATATTTATCCTCATGATTTGTCTATTGACATGACTTATCACAACTAAGTAAGACACACAATTGATAAGCCATAGGAATTAACTCGCTGAGGAGAACGATGTGAGGAAGTACATGTGGAGAGTAAAGGGCACTTTTAGTGAAGCTGTTTCATTTATCTGTGAGTCTTAAATAATAGAAGACGATAACAACAACACAAAGTAAGTGTTGAATGACGAGATTGAAGCCGATGATTGATTCACATTTCACTCACATCTCAGTCCAATGTTCATCGCACCAAACAGACGGTGTTTTTCACCTTTCTTTACAACGCTTTAGTCTCAATGAGAAATATGAGGAGACACATTGCATAAAACACGATTATTAATGAGTTTTCTCATGCTTAACGAGTACAATAAATTCACATTCGATTTACTTCGCATAACGTTACGATCATAAAAATGATCTCCTAAAATTGAATGTACTCTCTTCTGTTTTCAGAAAGAGATAGGAGTTAATCTATGAGTAGATATCGACTATCGGAAAAAAGGTTTTCTTCGACTATTTTCATGTTAAGCAATTAGGAAGTAAAGAGAAAACATCTTTAACCACAAAAAGATGGGAACTTCAATATGAATTTTGGAGGGATCTACACAAATGGTGAATATCAGTCTTGCAATTTTAAGGCATCTGACAGAATAAGTGAATTCTAAGAAAGTTGAAGATATTGTCAGAAATATTGGATAAATGTGAAGAATTCTCGGAAATTCTCTTCAATCTTGAAGTCTTAAGTCCTTAGACGCATTGATATTGCAGAAAAATCTGCTACATTACGTAAAAACTTAATAGAGCACTTCTGATAACATTTTGCATAGGGTGAAAGTGGGGATGTGGACGGGTGTGTAGATAAAAGTAAGGCATAAACCCGAATCTACATCCAGACACTCGATAGGCAAAGAAATTTGCTCAATCGTAACGCTTGCATCGGAGATAATGGGATCCTGAGAAATACAACTCAACAAAATACAATTAACGAGCCATTGATATACATGTATATCGACAGTCACCAATAAACAGAAAAAGGTGTTAGTGCAATTCCTACGGAGTTGTAGTGTGAAACACGATGCAGTTACTCTTGCTAATTACATGGAGATTGTTTTATTCTATCTATTTTGGGACATATTTCTTTACCATTCTTTTACGTAATCCTCCAAAAATACAATAAGGATATACTTCATATATTATAACGAGGCTTTATTGATATATGGTCTGTGGTTGTATATCTATAACGTCTGTTACCCACTGTGGGTGGTGGCTAAAGTAGGGTCGAAATGTTTACCCTCTACTTCAACACTTCTTTTAGATCATGTTTCACAATAGAAAAAGGAGACATCAACATAGAAAGCTGTTATGACGCATATGGTGTCGCCTAATAGGCTCTCAATAGCTTACTGAGAATCTTGAACATCAGGGCTCCAGGACTCTGCTATTCTCCTACTGGATACTAAGCTGAACAATAAATAGTACTGTACTCTGGAGAAGAAGCGGCAAACTCCATGCTTGAGTCAATCGCAAAACTGATTGCTTCAATTTTTTTCGATTATACATTTGCTTATGACAAAGAAGAATTCAGTGCTATATAGTGCTCAGTTACGAGCTGTACTACTTGTTAGCAAAGATTAATATCATGACTAAACAATTTCTGACAGTTATTTGTATGACTTTAGAAGCTGTGCGTAGAACACTGAATTGGCGCATATGTACTTTTCTGACTTTGATGTTAAGATGGCATCTCCAGTCGAATTGGTTTCTGTGCGTCCACTGTTGTCATCTTTACTGGATGATGAATTTATCTGGTTATATCAGATCAATACAAGTTCACTAAATAGTACTCGACTCGACGAGTGGACTCCTTATCCACCAGACATATCATCATCCTTAGAGAAAGCATTTAAGAGAGGTGACAAAGAAACAATCATCGGTACATCGTATCGGATCGATTTCATGAAACTTTTACAAGAGGATATTAGTGATCCAAAGCACCAGCAGCCTGTTCGACGCCATAAATTGAACATACATATGGAAAGTGGCAAGAGAATAGAATCTGATATTGCTCGTCGAGAAAGGTTCTCGTTTTCATTACATATGACCGCATTAGACAGTACAAGTATCGACACATTTTATCACGGTTCACAATTTGTTAGAGATTGGCTATTGGCATTTACTCACGGAAACCTGAATGTGAAATTTGATGCTATCTTTCCTGCTCTCATCAACGGCTTGAAACTGGTAGGAAGCGATGAGCCAGAAAGAGCTGCTAGCGATATTCTACAGGTGTTATATTCTATTAAAGAGCAAACATCGAAAAAGAAGGAGTGGGAAAAAATGAAAAAGTTGCAAGATTGCTGTGCCAAATTATACACGATGCCATGTTTTCTCTTTCGTGTTGTTAACACTGCATTACGTTGCGATGATCGAACGAAACTCGACGCGTTAGGTCCCTATTGTTATCTCGTTTACAATTACATCGGCCGCCATACTAATCAAAATATGTCACTCCGACATCGTCTTTTACAATCAGCTCGTGTTACAGACGGTCAATCGATGACTTTGTATCGCGGTGATGAAGTTTGTTCCAAAACGTTAGAAGAATTTAAACACGCTGCTGGAAAAAAAGACAAATATTTTAGATGGCTTCCATTTGTATCAACTTCACTCGATCTGGTTGTTGCCGAAAACTTTGGACAGAATGTTTTGTATATTATCGAGCTACAACGTTATTTATCCAATGATCAATTCACATACTTAAGCAATAATACATACTTCAAAAGTGAAAAAGAAATATTATTGAAGCCTGGAGCGCGATTTCAAGTAATGAAAGTAGAACCTGACTGTCAGTTAAAACGGCAATTGGTCTATATCAAAATTATTCCATCGTATGTGTCCAATTTGAGATAGTACAATAATAGTCCAAAGTATTTTAAACCATATGTTACAGCTGTATTTTTGTTCAAAATAAGTCTTTAACATTGTCTCTATTAGCTAAAATGTAAATCGCAATGGAACTATTCTGATGGTAAACGGATACGTTTGGCACATTTGCCTAGCGGGAAAGCTTTTGAAATTTCATAAGGATGTGTAGCTACTTTAGCAGATGCAGGAGGGAATTCTCGCCTGTCGATAGCCGTCCGTCTCATATTTAGACTAGTCGCTTATCTGTATAACTCTAATCCTCACTGGTTACAAAAAAGACAGATTAACAATGCGTTAACACACGAAATTCATTGTACTTTGGCCGTTGGAACGTCCGTTTATATGTTTATTATTCAAAACAGCAACTTATATTGAAACAACTGTGGAAATATAATTATAGAATTTTGTGGACTTTGTGAAACAACTGTGGAAATATAATTATAGAATTTTGTGGACTTTGTGAAACAAATATCCATGACTGTGGAAAAAAACTAATTGATAGTTATACACTGATGTATTCAGCTTTATCCAGTGGCAAGAATACTAAATTCAAAATCTAGACTAGTCCCAGTAATTGCTTGAACTTGAGTCGACTCGAGTAACATTTTTTAATGACTTTGACTTGGCTCAAACTCAAAAATGATGAGTAACTTTAATTCGACTGCTTTATTCAGATCATTCACAGAAAAAAGTAAAAGTTGATAACTCAACACCAGAATCAGTTTCACAAGAAATTGATGATTTTCTAGGTAGGTTATCATTTCCCCTAAATCAGGTCCACATTTGTGGACAATTCAACAATTGAGATCAATCTAGTGACCAAATAGGGACTTTCATTTAGGGACTTTTCAATTTAGGAACTTTTTTATAACATATATCATACGT